CCCGAGCCCCCAGCCCCGAGCCCTCACCTGCAGCCCGGGCCGGCCCCGCTCCGCTCCGCTCCCGCGGCTGCGCTGCCGCCGCCGCCTCCGCCGCAGCCGCGCCCCCCGGGCCGGCGGGGAGGGCTCAGCCGGCAGCCCCCGAACCGCCCCCGGCCCCCGAACCGCCCCCCGCCCCGGCCCGGCACGGCACGGCTCCCCGGCACCTGCTCGCCGCCTCCTTCCTCCCGCGGGAAAGCATCTCTCCCTGCTCGCCGATCAGCATCCCTTTCCTCTCGTGCCCTGTGGAGGGACAGCACCGCTCTTCTGGAGGGTGCAGCCCTCCTGGTGGGGCACGGTCACCTTCCGTCCCCTCCCAGGCTGCGCACAGCTGCTGCAGACCCCAAAACCATGAAGTTCAGCTCGAGGTAAAGGTCCTCTCAGAAATGGAGCTGCGGTTTTAGTTTGGATCCCAATGGCAGCAGGAGGCACTGTAAGGGAGCCCGGAGCGCACCCCGCAGGAAGGAGGGACCGCTGGGCTTTTCCTGCCTTTGTGGGAAGGGAGGGGGTCCTGCTCTTAGCAGCTGATTTTTGTGTCCCACCCGAAACCTTCACAGCTTTCAGCACTCGCTGCTGGAGGTGCTGCAGGAGCTACACCTTTGGAGGTGGAGATAAGGACAGCCAGCTCCTGGCTTCAAACTAATCCATTCGCAAAACACAGAAAAAGTGCCTCTTTTCATCGGAGCCTTTCTTCTCTCCAAAGCAGCTGAGATCTGACTTTAAAAAATCACGTTTCCAGCTGTGATGATTGATGGGAGAGCCTCCAGAAAAAGGACTACCCAGTGCAGCTGATGAACTACAGGAAACTGGAGTTGAGATGCCCAAACGTCCCCATTCATCTCCACGGGGAGCTGACGCCCACAAAGGCTTTACAGACATTAACTGCTTCACAGCATGTTTGCACACGAGAAACTGAGCAAAGCAGCACTCTCAACTTGCAAGTGGCTTCCAGTGTAGGCCAGGCTTAGAAAAAAACCCCCTCCTCAGCTGTTTAATGGGAAAAAAGGTATACAAAACGGGTTAGCTGAGCTGAAATGCCAGCCAGGAGGGCAGAAAAAGTGCATTGAGCTTCACAAGGAATTGCCTTTCTAAAGCTCCCCTCTGAGATGTGTTTGCTTGCATTCACTCAGGATAATGAAATTCATTTGGAAACAGCTTCTCTCCTGAGGTGGGTGGTGGGTTCTAATTATGATCCACTGCTTTATTAAAGCCAAGTGAGGCCTCACAATGCAAGGAGCTTTTTCCTCCTTGCAGTTGGAGGCAGGGAAGCAGACAAGGAGGATGGCTAATGTGAGGCTGGGGAATGCAGTGGTGTGAGGCAGGCAAGCTGCTGAATCTCCTTGGGAGCACTTTGCATGGAATCCAATTATTCCTGACACTCCAGGGTCAGATGGTAACACCAATGGCTGTGGTGAAAGGGAAATGAAAGGCAGGGTCAGCAAAGGTCAGAAGTTGAGTAAGCTGGACAGAAGATCCTGGCCCAGATGGATCCTTTTTTCTTTGTGTGGTGCTGGTGACATGCAACAAACCAACCAAACAACACCTTCTCCTCTTCCTTGTCCCCAGCACTACTTAAAAACATGAATGTGTTATTTCTTACAGGATGTGATGCAGTACTCTCACAACAGCACAGCACGGGGGACAGATAGCCATAACACCAGCTAAGGACCAGGCCCACAAATAGCCCATTGAAAACAAATTTGTACATAATTCGTTTTTTCTCTAAGCAACCGGAGGAGAAGAGAACCACTGAGTACTTAGCTAGAAGAAATTAAGTGTCCTCTGTGTCCTATTTGATAGGACAAGAACCTAGCTGGCACCCTTAGCTGCAAAGGAGAGTATTAAAAAAATAACCTATTTATGTATCCATCCTGCAAGACAAGAGAGAGGGTGGAAGTGCAGGTTAGAAACATTCCCCATTAATCTCTGGAGCTGCTTGGGGCTATTTTTTGGCTCTTGTGCTTTGTTGTTGTGCAGCAAACCCTTCAACAGCTCGTGCCTGATCCGGCGCTGTGCCTCACTGCAGGAGGGGGACTAGCAACCTCTTGAACCATCTCTCTCAAGCACATGGCTATGATCTCATGCTAAACTAAAAGGAGGCTAATCTTAGCATAAATTTGCACTTATCCCATCTTTCATAAGCATAAAACGAAGGTGGAACACAGAGCACTCACAGGAAAGCAGTGTAGCAGGGAAGATTAAACGTAGGAGCTGACAGCAGACTTGGCAGCATCCTCTCTGGCACCCTGCTTCCAGGGGAGGCTGGGCCCAGGAGCTGCAGGTGAAGAGGCACCTTCAGCCAGGCTGGGGGCTGGGCAGCAATGGGAGAACTCCCTCTGATCCCCTGCAAGGGGACTGTGCCTGCACTCCTGGCTGCCTTGGCTGGATAACCTCAAAAGGAACATTTCAGGAAGCTGTGAATGCATCTCAAATGCTCTTATGACTATTTAAAGTATTCTGTTTGCTTGTGTCACAAGCAGGTAACTTTTATATAATTATTCTCCCCTCTTAATTAACTGACGAGATCTCTTTCCCTCCATATATATACATATATATATATTCATACACACAGTATCTGTGTACTACAGATGCTCCCCTACGTTAGTGAACACCTCCATCCTGATCCTCCCAGTTCTCACCAAATTTGGAATGTTTTTAGATCCAGTTGTGATACAAGCAGATGGGCCTCACAACTGTTAATTCAGATATTCTGCAGTCAGATGCAAGTATCTCACCTTCACAGAATAATTCAGGTAGTTTATTTCCTACAGATGACATACATCATCTAGGGAAGGAAACCAGATTAAAACACACACCCTGGTGCATTGCAGGCTACTTACTACTGCAATAATCATCCTACTTGTCAATACAAGGATTGCTGTTGTGTGCAGTTAATCACAGAAATAAATTTTAATTCAGTAATCTCAGTGCATACATTAAAACCCAAAAAGCACTTGAAGTATTTGCCAGTTTATTTTATTCGTTAAAAAATTGGCAGCAATGCAATCTTCATGTTACAAAATTATTTTTGGCCTGCTGACAAAACCTGCTACAAGTCACTTGATCACTATTCATGTTGTCTCTATTGACCAGAAAGATACCTTCAGAAACAAGGCTTGTCAATGGTGTAACTGCACTTATGGCTGAGGAGAAAATGGTTCAAAGGACACATTTGGTAGAAGCCACAGACACGGGCCAGGGACCCAGTCCCTCCAGATCTGATATCCAGGGGTTTCATTCCATTGACAGAAGAATGCAGCAGTCCCAGCTGGGCTTGGGGTATCTGATGTGGCTCAGGTGCCTGCAGGAATAACTCACAGCAGCAGGCAGGTAAGCACTGGCAGGGTGCTGGAAGTGAAGGGGCTCCTCCTTGCTCCTTTGAAATGCCACTGGTGCAGTGTCAGGGCACAGCAGGTTCTCCCGAAGCACAAGAAGTGGAACAGAGAATTCCACGTGGCAAATGGGAAACTGCAGCCAACAAGACTTTTAAAGATAATATATGCTGCAAAACCCCGATGCTTAAGACAATTAAGTCCCAAGACTGTTTCAAACAGTTCCAGCTTTAGGATTTTTAATTATTAAAATCATGTCACCGAATCAAAAGGGGTCATTAAACCCAAGCTTCTGTATTGTGCTTCAGCTATGATTATGAAGCAGGAGGTCTGTAGAGGAAGTATGCTTTATATGCTCCATGCCAACTAGCCTGGAACACAGCAGTTTAAAAATTACTACAGATTAAAAGTTAGTGGTTGATTCTTCGGCACTCCTCCTTCCAGTCACTTCTTTCACTATATTCTCACTGATATCTTGTTCTGACTTAAAAAAAAAGATCAGAGCACAGTTCCATTTACATGACTCATCAGGTGTTCTTCTGGGAGCTAAAAACAAAAATAAAATGTAATTATTATTATATAGTACTGCAGGCAACTTTCAGGCTGAATTACAATCAAATGTCATTTGGAAACATATGGCATAATATGGGATTGGCTTAACTCCATTATCTCAAGATCTTTGTAAAATAAAGCCCAAATATTGAAGGTCTTCAAGAAGGCACCAACCTTTCCTTTTAGAAGAGCCCATTTACTTCTCCTGACACTGAGTCCAGGTCTATATCATAGAAGCAGGGTCTTGTAGGAAGTCCTGGCATAGTGCTCATCTGGACAACAACAGAGAGAATGTTAAAGCAGCATCAGCAGCATTCTGTGTACAAGATCCAATAATGAAGACTTGGATGGCAACAGCTCCCTGAACACTAACAGACCAGATAATGATAATCATGGACTGTTTTGAAGCACCCCATGAGAACCAGGAACTCCTGCCTCAGTAGACAGATATGACGTTTTTGCTTTTTATGATGAGAATTAAGTTTGGTTTCTGCAGCTGCAAGTAACTGAGCCCAAGATTTGGCAAAGTACTTGGCTATGCAGCTGACCAGTTCACTGCTGGAGGAGCACTCACGGACTTTGCTGTGATGAGATAATGACTTCTGGCAGTTTTCTGGGTACTAAAGTGAAGATACAAATTTTAATACAAATTTGCCAGCTGTAAAGCCTCAGTTGATTGCAATTCTTTGAGAATCTAGAACTAGACATGTTAAGTAATTAGGAATAATTTCTGTTGAGAAGACATTTTAAATAGGTTGGAGTTTGTTCTGTTTTTTCTAAACTTGGATAAAGCAGAGATGAAGAAGTCAGTTCTGACTGGAACATGCTCAGAAAGGCTGTGCAGGAGCAGAACTGAAGCTCACAAAGCAGCTGCCAGCCCTAATGCCTCAGGCCAGTCCTCTGCACTTGTCCCACTGCCGAGTACTCAGTTTCAGGGATGCAGAACACAAGGCTGGCAGGAACTACACTTGGCCTGATTTATTCTTGCATCTGACAGCATTTCCCCTCCCTTAACTCAGCATTTAGCCCAGCAGCACACACAGGCTGAACACAGACTCTACATGGGTGGACAACTTGTAACCATGTTTGGTAGTTTGTGTCAGTGGTCATTAAGTGCATTTTTAAAAAGGGAGAACTTGAAAGGTCTCATTTTCTATCTGCATCACCCTGCCTCAGTTTTCACAGTCAGTATTGTTATGCCTGTCTCCATTAGATTAAAGATCTCTTTGGCAACGTGGTATTTTCTCCCTGAGCAAGTATTTTGCACGCTAATCAAATTACCTCCCCATCTTCCTTTTGCTAATAAGCTAAGCAGCAAGAACACAAAGCTCTGTTGGTGAGGTCTTCTCTGCAGTTCTCAAAACTGTTCAGGGAGCTTTTGAAGTCCTAGCCCATTTTCCTTAGCTATTTACAAGTGCTAACACCAGTCCTACATGTACTGTACCACTGCAAATCTTTTATGGGTTATGCAGAGGCAAAAATCACTTGAAGTCTCCTCTTTGTAATGAATTCTAGGGCTGCATTAGCTTTTTTATGAGAGCCACTGCTTTCTCACACAGAGAATAGAGGGTCCACAGAGAGGGCCCCTATTCCTTGTCTTTGAGCTCAGCTGTATAAATATTTTGCTCTCAAGAACATCTCAAGGAAGTATTAAGAGGTTCAAAGTGCCCAGAAGGGTTTTCCTGTTCTCAGCTCCCAGTCTCTGGCCACGAAGAGCAAGAAACTTCCTATTTATTTATGTACCACTGGAGAATCGTGGAGCTTTGCAGATCTCCACCTCCAGATTCAGAGGGCCACAGCAGGAGCTGAGAGAGTGACATTCAATAGAGTAGGAGGTGCTGAAAATGTGCCTGACTTTGCCATTTCTTGCACTTTCTAATTTGAAATGAACAGTCAATTTTTCCTCCTTTCCTATCCAGAGGGCAGCCTACAGTGGCTACTCTGCTATCTATTACTTCAAGGCAGTCTGCTTAAACCTCAAATTTCCATGCAGTGCAGAATAATTTCCATCCAGGCTACTAATTTTCTGTACAAGTGTCTACAATGCTTCATGCACTCAGCTATTTTCAGAGCTGAAGGAATGAACTTTTTCTCATTTATCCTCCTCCCCTTTAATACCACATGTGCTCAAAAAGAATACAGGGCAATTCACACTATTTACTTACAAGAAACCACATGGGTATAATCAAACCCCTTGCAAGATTTCAAATAAAACTAATACCAACCAAACATATATTATTTGTTGCTCTTGTGGATCTTTCAAAATAAATGCCATTTAGGGCCTAAAAAACCAGAACTGAATAACAGAATTGTTTGCCATTCAGCAGCAGCACCAGAAAAGAAACCAAATCAATCTGACTTCAAAGATTTATTTCTAAATAATTTTAATAAATCACTTTAAATCTAGATAACCTTTGAAATTATATTTCCTTTAAAATCTCACAGTATTTCATGGAGGTATAAAAGTTTCAACTTTGAGCCAGAAAGGAAAATTCCAAAATTCAGAAGCTGAGAAAAAAATAAAGCGTGACGTGCCTTTGTGATTAACTTCAGATAACAATAGGCACACATCGGTGATTAATTTCACCTCACATTTATCCTAAAAGCTTCTGCATAGAGCTATGTATTTGTTGCATTTTCAGCTCACAGTTCAATGGCTGCTGCCAAAAATTTATTCTGAGGCTAACACATCCCCTGCTGAATGGGTTTAAAATAGTGATCTGATTCAAAATGCCCCAGATTGCTTCTCCAAAGGACATCCATTCCCTGGGCTTTAGACACCACAGAAGAGTGATCACATCCCAGCCAGAAGACTTATTGTTAACTCTGGCAGAATTAATGCCATGATTTGCTACATGGCCAAGCAAACATTAGGAAATGGGTTACAGGAGCAGAAAGGAAAAAGTCCAACTCCACAGAAACTAAAGACATCAGAAAAAGAGCCAAAATGTTAGTTTTAATGTCTGAAAACATCCCTCTCTTGTTTACTCATTAATGCAGTGTACCCTGTCCTTCTCCAATGCTTACGAAATAAATAATAAAATAAATCATTGTTTGGACTAAATCTTGGCTTGCAAAAAATGCCATTTATAACAGGAACAGGCATGCTATCTTTCATTCTATCCCAAAACACACATTAATCTTTAGAACATAGATGAGCCAGACTTTAATCAGGATGTGGTTACCTTATTTATGCTGGATAATCTGGAAACCTTTTATTACCTTTTATTTTTTTAAGAAATAAAAGAAAAAGGCAGCCAATATTTGGATCTAGCTAGCATTTGAAGGAAGAGAGGATCCAACTATTAAATCAGCAAACTTCATCAACTGAGTCATGCACCCCTAATACTTTTGAAACGTTAGTATAACAAACATGTTGCCATGAAGACCTCAGAAAAAGGTTCAGCCTAGTAAACAAGAAAAAGAGCTGCTTGCTCCAACTGCCTGATGCCCTAAGGTAATCTAACTAGATACTCAACATTTGCCCAGAATAGATTCCCCAGGTAAGATTTCCAGTGGATCCTTTCATCCTAGTGTAGTTTTGATGGATGCAAACCTGAATGTGGGTTCATTTTGCAGATAGCTCATCTTTCTGCCAGGCAATTCATATCAAAGCTGTTCCAGGATCCTGTTTCCATTGTTGCTACTGTCTTCCCTCTCAGCTGAAATTATGCCAATCATATCAAAGAACAGAAACTAAAAACTCAAGGGCACAGTAAAATGAGTTGTTGGAATTGTTGCAGGCTGAACAGCAAACAGATGGTCAGCAAAACCATGAGAACTGAAGTGGAGGGGAGCCTGATGAATGATTGATAGCACAGCTCAGCTTTGCTTTGGAGGTGTCTCATCCAGAGGCATCTGCTCCGTAAGCTTAGGAGGGGTTGCCTTGTTCTGCCCTGATCCACAGGTGTACACAGAGGTCACCTGCAAAGGGCTCTCACCAGGAATGCAAAGTCACAACAGCAACCAGGTGGGCCAAGGATTTCTTCCTCTACCAGACTCCTGTTCCTACAATTCACTAACTACACAGCTCACCCTTTTCTCAAAATCGAGGAAAAGAGAGATGTGGGACCTGAGGGATACAGCAGGGGCTTGCTAATTATTCAAATGCCAGATGTCTATTTCAGCCTCTCTCTTCCCCCTGAGAAAAACCCCTATTAAGGAATCTACACTGGATAGGTACACTGGACTGTTACATCACCAACTGCAAATGACAAGGACTCTCCTAATTTAAGACTCTTAACAGGAAGTGATTCCCGGATTGCACATGAAGCTTTTTTCCCCACCCCACAGCTATCACATACCGTCCCCACCAGCGGATACAAGAATCCAGCCCCAACGCTGGCCCGAATGTCTCGGATTGGCAGAATGAAACCTGTAGGTGCTCCTTTTTGTTCAGGGTCATGAGACAATGACAAGTGAGTTTTAGCCATGCAGATTGGCAGGTTTCCAAATCCCTGGGAAAAGAGAAAGAAAAGGAATGACATAAGTGGAAAAAACAGTAATTTTTCCAGTATAAAAATGTAATTGCTCTATTGTGCCATTCTCTGCAGACATCAGGCATTTTATTCCCCTACAAGTGCTTCATCCACAGCCTGTCAGATCCACTGATCATTCTACATCCCCATTCCCTCTCTCTCAAATTCTCTCCCCACCCCCCATTCAATAGTAAAGAAAGAACCACCATGTCCCTTGACACATCCAGCTGAGGAAAAAATTAATGGTATGGAAGTGCAGCATATACAAACTTGACAATCAACTTACTTCCTACTCTCTTCCCAAAATGTTCAACAGCTCAGAGTTAAATTTTTGTTCAGATGAAGTCAGTTAATTAGAAATGTTTGATCAATACAATTGCAGATAGTGACGAAGTGGCAATTACATGCCTTTGGGATTTTGATGGACTTGTACAGGAATATATAAAAAGCATGAAAGTGAGAAGCTATATATGCCAGTAGTAAATGGACTGCAAAAGAAAAATTGGTTACAGCACACTGCAACCAATGAATTGCCAATCTTCACATTGCTTTTCTTTTCAAAGACTTTTGATAACACAAGAAGCAGGTAAATTCACAATGTCATGCTAGAGAAGAGCAAAAGCAACACAGCAACCAGAAAACATTGAATTCAATAATCAGATGGCAGGTTCAAAAACTTAAAAAACTTTCCACATCAAATCTTCTATAACCCACAGAACTCTTTCCCCAACATAATTGTGACTGCAAAAATCCACATGGACTCAAAAACTGATTAGTGGAACTTGATCTCAATGGAACAAGATGAAAAAATAATCAGAGACTATTTAAAACCAGCGTAATGACTTGTAATTCCCTAATTCTCTAAATGCTGAAAGACTGGAGAGTATAGTAGGGAAAGATCATTAAATCGTCCTACCCTTTCTCCCCCAAACTATCACAGATGGGTACCAAGTGGTACTGGGCCCCATGAGTGAGCTCTGTCTTCCTCACCAGAAGACAAAGTCAGTTTCTCCTTTCCCATATCCTTTTCTTCCTCTGCCATAGCAGCATTTAATGAGTCCTGGATAAGGACATGATTTGAGTGAGGATTCCCTTCAAACACAGCTTGAACACCACCATTCAGTGAGTTAATTTTGAATGAAAAGCACCACTGCTACCAAGTGATGTGGAAAACTCACCTGCTTGGTGTACAGGGCAACTTTCTCCTGTGCTTCTGGAAGTAGCTCAATGTCTTTTGCCCCATAGACCTGCTGGGCAATAAGCCTGATCTTATCTACAACAGGCAGCTAGAAAAACAAAAAAGACAGGCAAGTCAGCATGGCCAAAGTACAAAGACCTGCAGCATCACAGCAGTTTCAGATCCTCCCCACGTGCTGTCAAGTACGCATCTACAGACATAAGGCTTAATTCCATTTGCTGTAGAACAAAATACAGAGTAATTTGAGGGTTTTCAAAACATGTTTCAATATTTCATTGGGTAGCCAAAACAGTAAGAACTAATTAACTAGGTCTTTGAGACTCCTAGAATCAATGTTTCAATTCTAACACCATGTTTCTTCTCAATTTCTCAGCCTTTTAAACAGCCCTAAGCAACTTAAGCTAGTGAAAACAACTGATATAAACGAAGCATCTCTGTAATAGTGCAAGTTCTTACCTCCACATTATAGAGGAACCTGAAGTTGCTAGGGGCCTGGGATGCTCTCTGAACAGCTCGGGCCAGGGCCAGAGCTCCTTTTCCTCCCTCTGCCCAGTGAGTGCACTCCACAGCATCGAATGCTCCTGCCTCCTTTGCATGCTGTACTACAAGGGCCAGCTCAGCCTTTGTATCTGTCCTGCAAGGAGAAAGTTTGCATGTCTGTACCAGAATGCACACACAGTAAATGAATGTTTGTTCTTGTCAAGATCAAAACGTGTCCAAAGAAATCACAGCTACCAGAAAGCTGCTCAGGGGTTATCCACTACAGCCTTCTCCTTGGTTGGCATCAGCTTTAACACCACATCTCAAAGTACTTCTGCTGCATAAAAAGACCACATAGCGGCTGTTTGTTGTGCAGTACAACATGCAGAGCCCAAATCATGGATTTTCCAACAATGCAAAATTGTGGTGTTCCAGTATCTGAAGGGAGCCTACAAGAGAGCTGGAGAAAAATTTCTTAGAAGAGCATGTAGTGACAGGACAAGGGGAATGGTTTCAAACTGACCGAGTAGGTTAGATTGGATGCTAGAAAAAAATTCTTTACTGTGAAGGTGCCGAGACACTGGAACAGGTTGCCCAGGTGTTGAAAGTGTTCCTGAAAGTGTTCAAGGCCTGGTTGGATGGGGCTCTGAGCAACTTGGCCTAGTGAAAGGTATCCCTACTCATGGCAGGGGAGTGGAACTGGATGATCTTTAAGTCTCTTTCCAACTCAGGCCATCTTACGGTTTTATGATTCTATGGATATGCTGCCAACAACACACCAACAGTACTGAAAACAAGAGTTTGTGTCAAACACAGTATATGAAGTGCCACAATGTTACACCCCTGCATCACCTCCCCATCCCAGCTCACTCACTTGAAAGCATTGACAGCCACGACCACGGGGACACCAAACATCCGTGCATTCTGGATTTGCTTGTTTAGGTTGCTGCAGCCTTTCGCCACCAGCTGAAGATTCTGTAAAGAAGGAAGCAAGCAGGAAGCATATTTTATCAGGGGCAGGGAAACTTTTGTTCCAAACCCATTAAATCTTGAAGCTAATGGTAAAAATGTCAAAATGGGAATGAAACCACAAAGGCAAATCCTCAGTGTTGCTTTCGGAACAGTCCAGTCCGCTGCAAGCTCTTGGACAGGAGACAGGAAAAAGAATGACTATTTCTAATGATCACTGGTTTCAGCTCCCAAGTCAAGGTAAGAGAAACCTTTTTCATCACTTTTTGTTATGCTTAAAAAGTTAATACCTGTTCTCATTAACTCCACTCAGTACAGCCTCAGTTTCCTCTCTGATGCATTTCTCTTTATATATAAAATATCACCAGCAGTGAATTTCATGACATCCATTTGAAGTCTGTAGCAACAGCTTTCAGTTTACATATATTTACATTTTGCAGCATCAGAGACTATTCATGGAAATTCAGACATTTCATTCCTTCCTATGCAAAGGATAATATACACAGAAGCTCCACGAGTGAAAGAGCTGCAGCAGTGCAAAGAGCCTGATCACTTATCCAAGGGTACACAACCACTCAAGGCATAAGGATGGAAGGTGAGACTTGAGTTCACTTTCCTCGTTTGCAAACAAGGGGGGATAAAAACAAAAACTTGCTAAGAAGAGAGTAATTAGAGAGGCACTCTGGATATTTTCAGAGACAGTATTTCAGCTAAGCAATTACTCCACATTGAGAAGGTTGGGGAAACAGAATAGATATTACTACAAAAAACTGAGCACACAGACAACTGCCTGAGTTAAGGAGAAGAAAAAAGCTCTGAACACTGGCTAGGTCAAGGACAATAAATGTTTGAACGAGAAGAGCCAAAGTAACATCATTAAAAAGAAAAGAACATTACAGCTAAGAAAAAGCCTTTCTGTGGCAGCTAAATAAGTGACACACTAATAATCCAGGCATGCACTGCATGACACCAACATGTCGTGACCACGTCACAACAGCTTAAAGATTACCTCTTCTGTGTATTCCTTTGGCAAAGGTACCCCAGCAGTGACCTGTGGAAAAAGGGAAAGAAATGGAGCCCCATAAGACTTTTATCCATGACAGCAATTCCCACTTGATTCTTATCAAATGGTATCAAGATACAACATTTTACTCCATGCTCATCGTTTTTATTTCTACGAAAAAAATAAAAGGAAGAAAAAAAAGAGACTGCATGATAAAATACATGACTCACTCTGGGACTGTTACAAGAGGCCCAGCATGCAGGCACTTCACTAGGGCAATAAAACAAGCAGGTATGACCCTGTAACATTCTACAATTAAACTGCTGACCAACAGAGAAATATCAATTCCTTTTACAACTCGGAATTTCAAGCTGATCAAATGCTACAGGTCTTTTAAGTGACTGGAACAGAACAACAGGAACAGCCCCTCAGGCCTACTGAAAACCTTCCCCAGTACTTACTGCAGGTCCTCCACCATGCATTTTCAGAGCTCTGACAGTAGCAACCAACACCACCACATGAGGCCGGAGACCAGAATAACGGCACTTAATGTTGAAGAATTTCTCCATGCCTATGTCTGCACCAAATCCTGCTTCTGTAACTATAGTAGGAAATAGAAACGAGTTTGTGAAAGATTTCTGGGTGGACAAATCATACTCTGTTTATATAAATCAAACTTCTTCCAAAGAAAAAAAAATTAAAAAGCCTAATGATGAAAAAAAGCAGATCCCTCCAAAACAAAAGTAAACAAAAGTACTCCACACTTACCAACAAAACCATCTTTACCCACAAGCTTCAATGCTATTTTGTCTGCCAACACAGAGGAATTCCCATGTGCAATATTGGCAAAAGGTCCAGCATGAACAAACACTGGTGTTCCCTATAACAAGCGGGACGCAGGAAAGAGAAAATCAGAAAGTGCAATTTTGCAAATATGCAGCATGTTAGGAGCTAAGTACTGTGGTATCTGAAAGTAAAGAAAAATACTTTTAGAAGACAGATCTTAAAGCCTTCTGATCAGACATTTGTTATCAGCAGTAAGGACTACAGGGCAAACAGGATTATTATAATCTCCACAAGTGGAGGTATTAATCCGCTTAGGAAAAGGATGGCTAAAACCCAGCAACTCTTTGTCATTCTCCTTCATCCACACCATTTAAATTCCCAAAACACATCCTGACATTAAAGACAACAGACCAAAGACACAGCAAAGTTTAATGCATTTCGTCAGGGTCATCCCACATGCCAGTGGCAGACCTAGAAGGAACCCAGCCCTCTACCCTAGCCCTGAGCACAAAACCACAGTAAACCCCCAACTCTGAGCTGAGCAGATCCCCACTGACTGTGATGAATGAACTAAACCAGTTACTCTAAGTGCCTTCTCAGAGCCAAGAAGCAAATCATTTGTGCTTACCTCCAATGTCTGCATGAGGTTTGGTTTTACAGCATCCTTCATCAAGACGGCCAGAGCTCCAGTTACTCCCTAAAAGAAAAAAGGAAAATCAGTTTCCAGATGTACCAAGACCTTGAGATGGTTCCTATGCAGTATAAAGGCTCTGATTTTGTCCTGGTGGGCTTTTGAACCAGAAGTTGCTCAACAAATAACTAACTCTAGTCAGGGCAAAGCAGAAAAATGACCTTTACATTCCTGTGAGAGGATCTGTGATTTCTGGTGGGAGCAGCCTTTTGCTTGTGACTTTGCTGGGCAATCACTTTGTAGCAAAAGCATCAAGAACAATTAATTCATGTTTTTATGCTATGGCAAGCTTAGCAGATAAGAGCAGCAAGGGAGTAACCTCTCAGTAAGTATGGTGTGCTGCAGCCCAGCACAAAGAAAAGTTCTTAGATTTTGTAGGTGCACTTGTCCTGGATTTTCTTCCTTCTTTTCAGCAACTTGGTCTACATGCTGGCCTTAAAATGTCATAACAACCTGCTACAGCCTGCTCAAGTCTCTTGAGCAGAAATAACTTTTAAAGTGAACCTGTGTGCTGATGAAAACAACCAGGCTGACATGAAAGGCAAACATTGGAGCTCCTATTTCCTCCCAGGTGCAGTCATGTACCCTGCTGAATTCTGCTTCCTGTGTAACAAAAGCTTGTGATTTCATCCCCATGTGCTTTGGGAAGAGAAGAGGAGGGTTTGGTCATTTTTGTGACTGACAGTCCAGTGGAACCAAACCAGCTGTTATCCAGCACTTGAAAAAGTTAACTAAAATTGCTGTCATGAGTCCTGAGCCAAATGTTCACAGCAGTTATGAAAACCCTGACCCATAATCTCTTTTTCTTCCCTTTCAATTTCAACTGAATTGCAGCACTCAAAGATATGAAAGACTATTTCTTTATAAGACATTCACTGCTTTGTTTCATTAGTTTCAATCTTGCCACATGAAAGCTTATTTAACATTTAATGGATAAGCTTTAAACTTCAGTCATCTCCACAATAATGAAAACTGCAGAGCAAGATTTCCATGGCGACATTTCAGACCCGTGTCGCTCAGTGGCACTTTGATGCATCCCATCTCTGAAAACCTGTAGTCAGTTTTTGATTCCACGTTTCTTCCCGGATTTTTTTTTTGCACTTCCTGATAGCACACTCCTGACATTGGTTGCATCACAGCAGCAGGACTCAGTCTGGTCTCTGCAATCACATTTCTGCCTGCATGAGGAGTGGGTAACATGGTCCTAACACCATGAGCCACTGGCTGCCATCAAGTGCAAACATATAACAGACAAGAGAACCTGTTGGATGTGTGATACCATCCTCCATTCTTCAGTCCGAATGGACAGAATTAAATATAAATAGATTTTTTTAAAAGTTAAAAAAAATTGAGATGAAAGACTTCTATCACCTGGACTCCACAGAAAAGGTGAAGTAACTCCCAAGCCAAGCACCATCTGCCTACACGGCTGATGGGCAGTAAGAAACACTCCTGTTTTCCAGAAAAAGGGTTTAACTCAGTTACTTAAGTTAAACTGGCAGCATGCTAGGTGTAGGAATTAAAATCTCAAAGCTGCCTACAGAACTTTGGCACACACTCTTTCTCATTCCCAACAAATGTCTCACATAAGGATTTACAGATAAATTGTTCCACCTGGCCCTTTTCCTGCAAGGCCAGAGTCAGACCATCAATCTACTGTTTCTTAGCCTTATCCTGGGAGGAAGTAAAACAAATAAACACAACTCCCATATCCCCCTAAAACGTAAGGAAACAGAAAACCTGCAGCAAGATAGCAAGAGCTGGGTAAGCCTCAGTGCCCTGTCCCACCTAGCTGGCAACACAGGTCAGGAAGAAGTGCTTGGGACACAGGGAATTGCCCAGAAACCACGCTGAAGCACCATTTGGGAAAACACTATTTGACACACTCCACAGACCTGCCAAGTACTAACAATTATTGGAGGGACAGCTGCAAAACAGTGCTGCAGCTTGAAACTGCTGCTTAGGGCTGCTTTACACACTGCTAACAGGCATCACCAGTGTGATGACATTCAGCATTTCATGAAGGGAAATTAAGTATTTGTGTCCCTCATCAAAGGCTGCCTTACAGAGAACGCACACTTTTTGCAAATGCTTTGGCTTTTGCAGCATTCATAGACTCCCAGAAGAAGATATTTCATTGTCTGTAATTGAATTTGCACAATGCTTTGTTCCTGCTCAGTATTTTCCTCGCTCAAGGGAGCCAAAGAAACAGGATGGCCAGCAGGATGTATTTTGAGTTCTTCTGATTCATAAACATGCTTTTTACGTAGAAGCCACCATGTATTTCCCTTCTAACTCCTATGGTGCCATTTTCAACTTGACACACAGCACATCACACAGGACCCTTGTCCCTGCCCAGCTCACACACAGCCTCTCTGGATAAGGTGGCAGCCACACTGAAGGAAAAAAACCTTCATTAACTGCAGGGGCGGGGATTTTATCTTTCATCTTCTCTATGTTAATTTTTTTTTCACAGAGCTGTCTCTCTACCTTTTAATCCAAGGACTTTCAGATATAAGAGGGAAAAAGGATTTAATGGCAATGACTCTTACAAGGTCATCTGCTGTAACTGGTTGTCCTTTTTTGCTGGAAGCTACCACCATTCTGCCAAATCGCTTTTTCATATCATCCAAGCCATCAGCCAGGGCTAGGACTGCCATGATTTCACTGCTCACCGTGATGTCAAACTGAGCCTGCAAGAGATGAATGAAGGACATGAACTCATTAAGATTCCCTCCCAGCAATTCTTACCTCTGTTCAATTCTTGAAACAAGGCAAATCATCACCATTGCAATAAAAAAAAAAGAAAGAAAAAAATACAGATATACAATATACAAGAAATCCAAAGCATTGCTTTCAGAACACTTCATTTAATTTGGCCATTTTAAACTGGATTCTTTTTTCTGCAAAATTAAATCAAACCTACTCATTCTGTTGCTATTACGTGTCTCTCCTGGCACGTACATTAGTGATTCATGTAAGAACACATAACACTAACAAATGATATTTTTGAAGACTGAGCTTACTAACTCATCTGATCATTACTGAACAATACAGTAAAAGACTAAAAGCCCACCAACAGAAAAACCAGATTCTATAGGAAACGCAGGATAGAATTCATCTGACATAATACAGACACTTCTACCTTAGGGAAGCTAAGCACCTTAAGGACATTTCAAGTCAAAAGAAAGAGGCTTTTCTGAGCACAATTAATTTGAACTATAAATTTGACAGTTGCTTAAGGGATGAGGGTGGTCATAGCCCAATTGCTTCTTTTTCTCTATTGATTATACAATGAATCTAGACATGCTCAGATACTGTGTCTAGTTTTGGCCAGATAAACCCCATGCAAAACACCTGCAGTAGTGAAGATGAACCACTCTCACGACCATCTTTAGAAAGGGCACTCATGCATCACTGTTATGCCACAGCCATCCCAGTTTGGGAAGCCAATATTCAGGAGACAACAGGGAAGGAGGGAAGAGACAATAAAACAAAACACAGCACTGGTAGCAAATTTAACTGTTTGGTTGACAGGACTTTCTGCTTTCTCTTTAACAAGATAAAAGATGAAAAAAATAGCTGGAGTTATAGAAACTTCCTTTAGGAACACCTTTTTCAAGTTACTTTTTAAAACGGGCAAGAAAAGGGAACAATTACCGTCCGTGAGAAGCCTTTCTCTGTCACCGACTGTCCAATAGTGATTTTCCTAAGGAATCTGTCATTTGTATCCAGTACTGCAAGGAATGCAGAGAGGTAAGATGTCACATTGCCAAGTCATAAATTCACATCTTTGTCCTGTGACAAATACCCAGCCAGGTCAGCAATGAAGAGAAGAAGGGCAGTTTGAGAAACCACCCTCTCCTAAACAATGGCAAGTGCTTCCCAGAATGATTCTTACACAAAAACTGCAATTAAATTAAAATACCCAAGATATACCAGAGCCTGCACTGCATCCAGAGGGTGTCTGCCTCCCTTTGTGTGCATTAACCACCAGACCAACGCTTCTCTGAAAAGCAGAACTGATAATATTACTCCAATTGATTTTTCACCATCATTAACCAATATGAATGCAGGAAATCATTGCAGTCAAAGAGAAATAAAATTAATACTTTATCACTGAAGTGATAAAACAGTCAGATACTATCATTTAGTGAGAATTGTTTCACACAGCTCCATTAAGTCAAATTACCTTAGAAACACAAACTACGAAACATTGGCTTAAATTTGCTGTTTCTTTCTATATGCTTGAAATATTCCAAGTATTTTATAAAGTATTTCCCATGAGGCAGACTACTTAAATCTCATTACAGGTTATGAAGCAAATTCTGGAGACTACATTTCATACTGTATTTCAAAAGAAAGAAGAAAAAGCTATACTCTTGGAGCCTAACTCAGGAAGAAAGCCCACTTTTAAAATTTGATAGTGAAATATTAAATCTGCCAGACCACAGAATGATTTTACCTTCAACTATCCTTTTAAAAAATCTGGTCTTCATTTGCTGTCAGTCCCCAACAGAGAAAGTGGGCAGATTAAAACCGAGTTTAATCCCAGAGCAGAACCCTCTCCTTACTCACACAGCAGTAAGGCAAAAAGGCCGTTGGCTACAGTTGCCAATGACTGACAAATCCAGAAACACAAACTTGCACCCATTAGCAAACTCTTTAATGTTTGTGAATTCAGAGGAGATTCAAGCCCCTGTGTTAGACCCTTTAGAAATGGGATACCAGCTGCAGGCAACTATCCCACCAAACTTAAGGAAGGAGGAACCAGCTCTGCCCTCTTTCCCATTTTCCCAGGAAACAGTTTCAGTTGCAACTGCAAATGTCTCTTTTGACACATTTTCTTTGATTTAATGTCTCTAGTACCTCTTTGCCACGTAATGGTGCCTGGGTCAATGTCCAGTCTCACAAATGCATTTATTTCTTCCTTTGTCAAAGCCATAGGATCTGTTTTGTTAATGCCCAGTTTCTATGGGAAGAAAAGACAAACAAGAAATATAGTGAAAAGATTCACAGAAACGAACCTTTTATTGCAGCACTGAGGCTTTGGCAGCATCTGCATATTCAGAAATAAGGAGGGGCTGCCTTTTTGGGACCCTTTCTTCCAGACCCCACAACAACATAAGAAGATCCATATCAGCACATGCTGGACAGAGCTTGCTGCTGTCCAGCTTGCAAAGGGCAAGGCAGACAATGGAGCTCATTAGGGCAGGTTGTCACCAAGCTTTGTGCAAAGCACCTACAGAAAGAGTAAGAGACAGCTCTGCAGTTCCTTCCACGCCTTGTTCTCGTCATTAGTCTCACACGCTTACATCCATTTCTCATTAGTTTGCCTGGGGTCACTGCACACCACCACACGTATTTAAAGCCACTCTTTCAGCATGCTGGTTAAAGCAGCACAAAGGAGGAATTAAACAATTCAGTCACAAGGCTGTCAGCATCCCAGAAAGCTGATCTTGAACACACTGAGAGGATGGGCAGTTTGCCAAGTTGCTTAATTGAGAGAAGAATTATCTCAAGAAGCCCGATACAAGCACAAGCTTAGGCATGAGGGAAACGATTCAACTGATTTATGAACGAGCAAGGTTTTTTTAATTAACTAGACAGTTAAGTCGCATTTTTCTCCTGAAGAACAGCAGGGAAGAAGAAAGTCTGTTCTTTTCCTCTTCAAGCATATCATTTAGAAAAGGAAATAAACAACAACAATGACAGAGAGATCATCTTTCTGAAGTATTAGCATCCTGTTCACATCTTGACATGTAATAACCAGAAGAGTGGTTAGGGTAGAGTTGCCTCAGCAGTCCATCAGGAACACCAAGCAGTATGACATCATTTCTTGCTCAGCAGTGGAAGCAAACCACATATTCTCTAATGGTTAAGACATTATAGCCAATTAATATGTCAGAGTTTTACCTTCCTAAGTAGTCTGACTATTGCTCCTGACTTCCAAATAGGCAATTGATCCAGCCTGAATACAAAACAGGCTTGTACCTTGAAGGAGCTCAGCAGGGCTCAGTCGGTCCTAGCTGCAAGGTTCAAGCCCAGCACAAAACTATTCATCTGCTAGTCCTCATTTTTGCAGAAGTCAATGTGAACTTGCACAGGCCCTTAAGTTTTAAGGATTAGAGGAGCTGTGGGCTGTTTAGGGTCTGCCATTCTATTAATCTAACCGGGATTTATTTTTTATTTTTTATTTTTGCAGAGGAGAAATTTGCCATGTAGGGAATGGATTTTCTTTTTCATTTTCCTTTGTTTTCTCAGTCTGGGTAAGACTAAGAAAGTTCTGTATGTTCTCTTTTTGCTGAATTTTACAAATTGCTTTTTTTTTGTGCTGCATTATCTACACAGCTGTCACATGGGAACCACTAATCTCCAGCAGTAAAATTGTGTTAGGTACAGAGACTAATTCTGGTCTTTTCTTAAACTGCATTAAGGACACTGAACTGACACCACTAATAAAGGACACTAATCTCTGTCTCTTTCCACCGTATTAATCACAGAGTATTTGACAGAGTTATATCAATGATTCCTCCCCTTGGGGCTGCATCAGTTTTCTGTGCTGTATGAAGGATTACCACACTTTTGCACACTATGTAAAAAATAAATGCCAGCAGAATGACTTAAGGGACAACACAGGTGTTTCTGTAACACAGCTCTGCATACCTAAAGGATAATAAATGGAACAGAACCAGAAACCCATGAGAAAGCAGTGAGCTCACCTGTAGTCTTCGGATCTGAATGTCTGAGAACTTCCTGACACCATTGACAGATGGCACCAAACGGTTGTAGAGAGCCTTGCAAGATGAAACAAGCAGTTAATCAGCACTGCTGGAACACCCAAAACAGCCTGGCCAAAGTGGGCATGGATCAAATATAGGGTAAGAAAGGATTGTACCTGGTCAGACTGAGTCAGCTCGTGGAACATACGGGCGTCAATAGCAGCAGCGACCAGGTTGTTGGCTGCAGTGATGGCATGGATGTCACCAGTGAGGTGAAGGTTAAACTAGAGGACATAAAACATATCAGTTACCTCATCCTGCTGCAATTTTCATTTATTCCAACTCACCGTAGACAGATGGAAAGAGGAGTATTAATAGTAATGTTAAAGTGGGTGAGGGTGGAGGGGGAGAGATTGCTCAGCGCAGTATGTGGAAGAGAGGAAAGAATTTCTCTAAAACATAAAAATGCCTCCCCCACATTCATGTCATTTTACAAACTTCTAAAACAAAGCTCCCAAATAGAAAGTTGTTTGTTTTTTTTTTCTTTTCATGTCCACCAGAACAGTTCTCACAGGCTCCCTGGCACAGAAAAGACCCAACTTGGCACACTCTATGTTCTGCATTGCTCGTCTTTCACCTTTTACTGACCCCCTCGTTTGCACAGCAGGTTTCACACATACATTAGCTGAAGTGGCTGCTGCTCCCACAAGGGAATCTGAGCTATACTGGAACTAGCAACCTTGTGCAGCACTGGCAGAGGAGCTGTGGTTGCACAGAGCTCTGCTTAAGGTAACCACCCAAACACGGAATCACAGGCAGAACTTGTAGACCACATACTACAGAGTGGCACTGCTAATAGTTTTCTTAGTTCTATCTCATTAAAACATAGTTTGAGTGGGTTTGCCTACATGAGTTATCTGGCTGCACTGTAGCTGTGAAGCTGATGAAAGATCTAGATTGGGTATGAGAGAAAACTTCTTCATGGAAGAGGCTGTCAAGCACAGGAACAGGCTGCCCAGGGAAGTGGTGGGGTCACCACCCCTGGACATATTTCAGCAACATGCAGTGGCACTTGGGGACACAGTTTAGTGGTGGGCTTGGCAGTGCTGGAGGAATGGTCAGACTTAGGGGTCTTAAAGATCTTTTCCAACCTAAATGGTCCTATGATTATGGCAGGTGAGTAAAAGGTGTGGTTGAAACAATCCTCTTCATCTCTAGCAAAGTAGCAAAGGAAGAAGATGAAAAAGGAATATTAGAAAAGGTGATATGACAAGAATACCTTACAACATCATTTTATTGAAGCCTTGTTACTGTGGTCTCAAAACCCACAAAGCTAAAACAGAATGCAGCTAGTCACACACCAATTATAAATCCTAATTATGTTGCCTCATTCTGCATACATGCAACAAGAAGCAATTATTATTACCTTTGTTCTGCAGCATGAACTCAAGTTTTTCACTTGCTATTTTTTTTTTCATAGGATGAAAGCTGCATGCAGAATTATTAAATGATGTATCAAGGTCATTATTGTAACTAGTGAGCCCAGATGCTTTAATTTTACCTAACGTGCACTGACTAAAACACCCCCATAAACTGTGCATTTGCACCACGTGGGTCATACTTAAAAAGTCATTCCAGCCAGTTTGGTTCCTAGAGTGTGGCTGTTTCCCACTGCAGCACGCAGTAAGGTATTTTGGCTTATCTTATTAACACTCCCAAAGAGGAGGAGGATATTTTTCCTGTCACATCTATCCTTCACACATGTCTTGGCACGTGACTCAATCAATATTCTGCCTCCTGAACATCTTTATCTTTTATGGACTGCTGCATCAATTACAGCAAACAGCCCTTTTGATTATTTCTGCTTTTCTTCCTGAAATTGTCCTGTGTCAATCTACAAGGCCTGAGACAAAGGTAGAATTCTACAGGCAATTACTCTGAGAGCTGAGAAGCAGAGAGCACACACTACACGTGCTTTTTAATTCCCTGCCTCCAGACGCACAATTTTGCTTGTTGCCAAGTCACACCAGAAATATGCTCCAGTGCCAGCCCCCCACAGGCTGAGGTCTTGGCATTGCTGATTCCCAAATCCCCTTTTCCCAGTTCATGTTAGTAATCTAAAACACAACTACACCAAAATAGCTCACGGAAAGAGTCGGTGGCCACCACAGCGGACAGAACTATGCAATATTCTTCCAAAATGCATTAAGCCATTATCATCTTCATTTCAGTGCTAGGAAAATGAGGCACAGGATGTACTTTGCTCCAGGGTACACAGCAATTCAAGGCAGAGAAGGGGAGGGAAGAGAGGAACTGGAAATTACTAGCTCTATGAAGTTCCCTGACCATGAAGTTGCACTTCTGAGACAACACAAGGATGGTTGTTTGCTAAAAAAAGGGCTTTGCTGAAATCAAGCACCCAGCTCTTTCAAGTAGCACCCAGCTCTTTCAAGTGCTACACTAGGTCATAAACCCATACATTTTCTAAGTTATCTGACTGCAGTATCTCTTCAAGGTCTGTGAGCGCAATGAGGTTTTGTATAAAGAATTACCTCTTCCATGGGGACAACTTGACAATAGCCACCACCTGCAGCTCCACCTGCAGAGAGACAACAGTCAGACTACAGCAATCCAGGTGTCTATAGCCCAGAGTGCTATTACACCTGTTTGCTTAATGGCTCCAAGAGGGCAACTACTACCACAGAGCAGCTGAGTTTAAGTTCCAACACAGTACCTTGAAGACAAAACCAAAGAACTTACCCAAAGCTCTTTTTTCTTAAAGTAACTGCACTTATAACTAGAAATAATGTAAAACTAAAGTGCAGCAGAACAGCATTTCTGAATGCCATCTTTGTCCATTTAGGCCAACTGCAAGCAACAGAACAATCATACCTTTTATGCCAAAAGTTGGCCCCTGAGAAGGCTGCCGAACACAGGCAAAGACATTCTGGTGAAGGTGTGCTCCTAAGGCTTGGACCAGACCAACAGTGGTGGTGCTCTTCCCTTCTCCCAGGGGAGTGGGAGTTATTCTGCAGCAAACAAAGCAGAAGAGACACAATTACAACCTTGTAGTGGGTGAGAATCAAATCCCAGGGATAAAACAGTCACCCAGTGAGTGCAGTTAATGAGAATTCAAGTTCTGAACTGGCTCATACTTCAGCTAATTTTTATCAATTCAAAACTGGAAAGAGATTGGCAAATTATCATGTAACTGCTGACCACTTGCCTTTGAAGCTATTTGCTAGATCCTACTGAAGGCAGGGTACTAGACCAGGAGAAGTTTGGCTAGGAACCAGTCTACCCTTCAAAACCCTGACCTGTAGATCAAAACAAATCATCTGCTGGAGAGAAATGTTAAGCTACGTTCCCACTGTTTGCCACAAGTGATCAATCTACTTCCCAAACTATTAGATTTTCACAGTGTGATTTACTAAAACACAAACACCAAACAATCTCCCCACCAAAAGACAATTCAATAACAAGCCATGCTAATAAAATTTCTTTTCATCTTGTAAGTGATGTCTCGGTTCAGGAAGCACCTACCCAGTAACAACGACGTATTTGCCATCTGGCTGGTTCTGCAGACGCTTCAGAGCTGAGAGCTGAACCTTGGCTTTAGTTTGGCCATAGAGCTCCACCTCATCAGGGAAAAGGCCAACTTCTTTTGCAACTTGTTCAATGGGCTTGGGCATGCAAGACTTTGAGATTTCAATATCACTTAAAAAAAAAAGAGCAAGATGAGTTTACAAGTCAAAGACTTCCCAAAAGTTCCCCACTTCTGGATGGAATAAATTACAAACACCCAATCTATATTTTAGAAGTCAATTTTTAAACACCCTGTTAAAGGAATCAATCCCACCAATATCAGGTACATTAGAACACACTTCCTCAGAATTGCCTTTTTAAAAATAAAAAAAAGGCCAAACCAAACAACAACTCCCATCCTCAACCTCCTCATTTTCCCGAATGTCTTTTGTATGCAATGTGTTATGATCCCATATGGTATTTTGTGTATTTTCAGCTGCTCCTTGGGGACTTGACACGAGCAACTCCTATTTGAACATGCTAGGGTTTTGGCATGCCAGACTGAAAATTTTCCAAAATTATTACAAGTTATTCTCTATTTCCTGAATCAGCAACCATCTAGCCGGCCTGAAGTCTGTCAAAGTTCAAGGAGACCACACTTCAAGAGATATCACAGCACCACTGCAGCACAGCTCTGCTTCCTCAGGAAGACTGACTTAGAGTGCCTTCATTTGAAAGCATTACCTTGGAACAGGCATCTGTAGGGTAAGCTGGTTGTATTGGATAGTCCATTTTCCAGGCTGGAACTTCTCCAGAAAACGCTGGGCACTCTCCACAGTGCTCTAAAATGAGCAAGCGAATGCATTAAAGCAACCACCACTGCATGAACCGCACTGGTTAACAAAGAGACCAGAGAGTTTTGCCCCTCCTATCTGTCTCAGTCTGGGATTAAACCAGAGTGCTTTTATTAAAGCATTTGCTAATAATCCAAAATGAGATTCTGCTTGCTGTTTTCTTAAAAGGAAAAAGATCCCACCATATTTATCTCTCTACCAATCTTCCACTGTGCTGGATTTTTTTGGGTGTTCTGCACCAGCAGGGTATCTTAAGCAAAGCATGCAAACAGAGGGAGCTGGTTTATACTGTTACTCTCCTTTTTATCCAATCACCCTAAGGATAGTTTTAGAACTACAGCCATAGCATTATAAGACAAGCCCATTTCTTTTAGTTTTGACTGACCACATTCAAAAACCCCTAAAAAACCCCCCAAAACTGACCAACCAGAAACCTCTGCTCTAACATTTCCTTAGAGTCCATCTTTCTCAGTTAACTGAACCCAAATTATCTGGACTAGAAGTTGGAAATCCTAACTAGATTTTGCAAGAGCAAGAAGGCAGCATCAGCTGCTTTGGAAGTGTGCTGATGGTCAGCAGCAACACCCCTCAAAGCAAACACAGAGGAGATGACCACAGTCTGCTCAGTACCTGCATTAACATGGCCACAGTCATAGGCCCAACACCACCAGGAACTGGGGTGATGAAGGAAGCTTTTTCCTTTGCTGAACTGTATGCCACATCTCCCACAACTCTTTTTCCACTGGGCTTTGTGCTGTCTGGGGATTTAAGGAGAAAAGTAAGTTACACATCACATTTCACCACAGCAACAGAGGAGACAGCACTCACTGAAGCTGAAGTCTTTAATTCTGCTGGAGCAAACAAAATAGAAGCTGAGTACCCAGGAAACTGCAAAGAATGATAAAAAAGCTAAGACAACATCACAAGATGAAGCTGTTATCATACTTCACTTGCAGAGTGTCAACAGCTCATGCAACACATCCTCCCATTAAGCCCCATTTATCCTCAGCCAGACAAATCTCCCTTTCCTGGAGGATGCAAGTCTTTTCTCAGTGGCTCATGGCCCACAGGGCAGCTTGAATGAGATATAAACCAACAGTCAGGAAGAGGTGAGAGATGAAACACGGCTGACTTGTTCCAAACCCCCAAGTTTACACTTGCTCTGTTCCATTTTGGAGGGCATCTGGGCCTTACTACTGAATAAAATCACCTGCTTTTACAGAAACTGAAGGCAAAAAGTGCTGAAATTTTCAATTATCACTTCTAGTTTAATGATGGACCAGTAAATACTGCAGTTCACAAAGATTGGTCTTGTCAAAACAAACTTCACAGGTGGCTTAAGAAAGTGTCAGTAGGATAATCTTCCTCTCGGGCAATGTATTTTGCTATATCCTGCTGCACTACATGACCTGACAATTCAGAAGCAGACACAGTTCTTTTTTCCTGTGGTGACCTTTAAATTCACTCATAAAGAGAAGAAGAGACAAAAATTAATTAGTAAACTAGCACAGTCATCCAAGGAAGTCACTGATTACAGCCCATAAAACCAGAAAATTTAAGTTGCTCCCAGAATGGCAGATTCTCACTTCAGATAAAGGACTCTAGGGAGCTTCTAATCAGCGTGAAAATCTGAGAATAGATTTTAATGTTGTTATATTGAAATATTATATTACATACAATAACTGTATGTTTGAACAGAACACAGTCAATAGCTTTCATATACATCTGGTGAGGGGGAAGAGTGGAAGAGAAATCAAACTCCTCAACAGCTGATTATGTTAAAAGCAAAGACAGAACAAAAGCAGCTCCTGCCAACAGTATTTTTTAGCTGCATTGTTACTGACAATTAGCAGCTTGGATGCTTTACTGTGTGTTTTAAGCAACTCTACTTCTCCCTAAAGCTCAAAGCCTGAACAATATCACAGCTGGTAACCAGTGTTTCTGCAGCCACTGTCAGTTTGCTGCCTGAACTGCAGACCAGTCTGACTTTCCCCCCTAGAGACCAATTTAATTAAGGCTGCAAACGATAAATAAAGTAATTTTATTTTCTTCCAAGGATGCCAAGCAGGCTCATCAGCCATCCAGGAAGGCTCTCAGCCCAAGAAGGAGGAAAACAAGCTGGCACTCCAAACTGCCTCATCTGTTCCACAGACACAGAGAGGAGCACAAGCCAAACAATCCCCCAGTCCCTGCTTCTGCATCTGCACCTCACGCCAAGCACTGCTGAGCACAGCCTAGGAGCTATTCAATTACCTGCAAAATGTCATTTTGAAAGAAAGCTCACATACAGTACTTGCCACCTCTCCCAATAATTTCACCTTCTCAGTATTCATCATCCCACTCTTAAATATACAAACTAGTTACAGGGAGCATCAGTGACACTATAATCGTGTTGCGAAAAAAACTGCTCTCATATTCCACTCTCACGGCTCCTTGTTAGCAAGGGCTGCAAAATCCTATAGCAGGCAACTTTTGAGCAGAGTTGCTTTCTCCATCAGGACTCAGAAAGGGACATTCCAGGGACTGCCATCTCTGGGAATATCCTCTACCTGCACTGCTTTCCCTCTCTGTAGCAAAACAAATTCTACAGGCCTGGAACAGGGTATTCAGAGTATTTGCTGGACCAGCCTTCCAACTGCAGGCTGTGGGGAGAGACAAATACAACCCAGTTTGACAAGAAGCACTTGTCTGCTCTAGTAGAGGTTTCAGGAGATTTTTTTTCCCTCTCTATCTGGAGGAAATTCTGTTCATTGCAGTACACAAAGCCAGATGTGGCTGAAGTGTCTCTTCCAGTCTCCAAACTGGCACCCTTGGAGCCACTCTCCATTCAAAAGCACAATTTCTATCGTGCTACATGGCTATAACTTGTCCTAACTCCAGCTCGGCTAGACTGCATGAGGTAATGTCCTGATATATCAAATCAGTTTGGGATCTGCCTGGATGGGGTACCCTGACCAGCAAACCAAAGCCATATCCAGAGATTGCCACGTCCTCCAGCTGCAACCCCCTGATCCTGGGAGGCACCTAGCTGGGTGCACTTCCACCTGTGGTAAGATGTATGTGCTCTCACCCTATCACATATAAAGCACCATCACAACTAGCAGCAATATTCTATCTGTACAGTGACTTAGCTGGAGAAGCCAGCAAGCGGGCTGCTGTTCTTTCTGTAGCACTGCAATTCCCACAATTCTGGTACTCATTTCCCAAAAGATTAATCTGAAAACTTTTTCACAACATATCAAAGGAAAAAAAAAGTCAGGAAAATTCAGCAGCTTCAGAAAACCACAGGAAAGAACAAAGAAAAGAGTGTGTAGCATCCATAATTTCAAAATGTGGCAGTTTTCATGATACTCTATCAAGTCTCAATTATCAAATCTCAATCCCATTAAATGCACTCCACGTGACACTGACTGGGCTGGGTGCACAAGAAGCTCAGATGTCAATGAACTGCTCAAGGCAGGCTAATTGCAAAGGAACAAGATGTGTTCTCAGAGATGCTGTTCACCTAAAGCCTGAAGAAAAGGTCATACCACCATATACCATAAACACAATGGGGGTTTTATTTGCAACATGTCAGCTGGGGAGACTCCAACCCATTCTGCTTCATGCACATCAGCAGTGACCCTGTGGGTTTTGGCAAATGGCCTAAGTTTGGGTAGCTTGGAACAAAAGCATCAAGCAACAAACGGCAACAGCAAACGACTTTTTAATTTTAATTAGATAGAGGACTAATGTTTTTAAAAGCAGCCTAATGTCAACTTTGAGTAACAAAACCACAGAACAGAAATTTCTTTACATTCTGTTAAATAATGGCAACAAAATGACTGATTAATTATGAAAACTACCTTTTAAAAGCCTTGTGGGTGTAGCACAGAAAGTGTGACTAATTTTCCATATCATTCAATATCTGTAATTTGGATTTAAAATGAGATGAAAACAGAAATTGCCAGACTGTCTGTACCATCTTTATAAGGAAGAAGCAACTAAATGAAACCCTACCCTAAAATCCATTACGTTAAAGCACTTTATTCTATGCCTGAGCCATTGTCACCAATACTCTTGCACAATCTGCTTTGTTTCAAGACAACAGCCATTCAAGCCTAAGAAGTTAATGCTGTGATTCAACAAATCCACAGCTACTTTAAGAGACTGCTTGTCATTTCTGTACTTCAAATGGAACAGCTTCACCAGATCCAACCACGAAGTAATGACAGCAAAGCTCTCAATCTGCGCTCCAAAGTGACAACAGCGACAAGACTTCACTATGTAGCTGGGGCAAATTAAATGGATATTCTATTGCAACATTTCGCGGGCCTCCTCTTTCCTCTATTAATCATCAGCCTCGCTGAAGGCAGAATCAAAACTGCCACTGATCTGCTTTAGAAGAGTACTTCAGATCAGTGTTTTGTTTACTTTGGCATTGCCAGAGGTTGCCATCACTACTTAAGACAGATTTACAGGAAAAAGAAGTCTATGTGGACCAGAGACACCAAGGAAACAGTATTCATGAACTTAGCAAATGCATTTATATACAAACATATCCCCACTTGTTATAATTGCCCACGCACCTGGAACATGGTTAATTCCACAGTCTATTACGATTGCACCAGGCTTGATCCATTCACCTTTTACCATTTCAGCTCTACCAGCTGCAACCACCAGGATGTCAGCTTTGCCAACCTATAAAAAAATTAAAAACAGACAACTGTGTATCACACTGGCAGTGGAAAAATGCAGAGCTGCTTCTGCAGCAAGTTAGATCAGCTTCAGCAGAAGTGAAACTGTGCTCACCCAATTCCATTGGAGGCATGGAAGGGCACTCTCAGCAATTAAAGGTAGTTGCCAGCTCCTTGGTAAGGACAAATTCCTGCAGCTAGAAATAATGGCCTATTTTCACACTCCTACCCCAAACTATTGCTAGTCAACACTTCACAACCTCCTCTGAACTCCTCCATGATTCCCAAGTGGATCATACAGGCTACATTTAGATAAAATTAAAGCCTTCTGAATATTCGTCTCTTCCTTCAAATATCCCTACACATTCAGTGCTAGAAATATACCCAGCACTCATCAGACAGCAAGAACTCATCTTGTTCAGCCAAGAACAACCCCTGCACAGAACTAAGCAGCACTTCACTTGAGACAGCACTGTCTCGTGCTTTTCATGTCCAGGACTCCGTATCACACAACTCCAGGGAAAGCTGACTGTATTTCAGCACTAATATTCAGTCAGGGACTACTCACTAAATTTGACAGATCCAGTAATGAAGCTGGTGCTAAAGATTCTTACTAAAGCTCGTTGTCAGTTCCTGCACTGCTTCATTCACATTTGCTTAGGAAGTTGCTATCCCTTGGAATTTTTTTCTCTTAATCTTCAAGGGAGATAAACTATTTTTAAGATATCATTAAGTATTAGCACTTCAATTTTTAATCAACGTGATGATGGTCTTACTGAACAGCAACTTAACAGCGTGAAGCACTGCAGTGTTTCTGATCTACTTTGCAAGTTATATTCAAACACTCCTACTCCCTTTTCAGCTTTAATACTTGCCTACAGAGCCTGGCAGTGCTGATGGCTCTACGAAATCCAAGTAGGTGGCAGCACAGCAAAACACTATTTCTGTCACTCTCACTGCTGAAGAGGAAAATGGTACCAACTCCCTGTCATAGAAAATCGACTGAAAAAAATAAACCAGCGGAGAAATCATTTGGCTTAACATTTCTCAGCCATTAGAGAAGAAGACCAACTGGTTGTTTTGGTAAAAAAAAAAAAAATCAAAACAACAAAAACATATGCTGTTTTGCCAGTCCCTACATGGAGTTTAGGAAGGGATGATTAAATTCTCAGCACTTGCTCAAAGACAACAAAAATAGTAATTTTATTGTTATAATTAAACCCCTCTAATTAAATGCCAAAAATAATCAAGATCCTATTCCAGCGGAAGTATTTACACAACCATGCAATGAGCAGGACTGGAAAACCAATTCAGATGAAAGACACCCCAGACCTAATGACTCACAGCAGCAACACACTGAGCAGCAATGTGCATGGAGCAGCAGTGGCCTGGAACAAATAACTACAGCCTGCCCTTACCTCCTCAGCCAGGGTGGAGGTCTTGGAATGGCACGTGGTGACTGTTGCATTATTCCAGAGCAGCAGGTCGTGCATGGGAGCACCCACGATCTTACTGCGACCGATCACCACGGCTCTTTTCCCTGCCACCTGGACACCTGCACCACAGAGAGTCAGGAGAGAGCAAAAAAGAGGTCACTGTGCAGCCTGGTACACACTAACTCAAACTGCTCTGGACTCGTGGTCAGTTTAAGTCTGGCCCTGGTACTTCAGAATAATATTCTTTGTTGCGTGTGGTAGGGAACTGTAGCTGGGAGGGAGGAAGGCAAGATCATTTTAACCTAGTTCTTTTACTATCTAAGGCAGCAGAGATGAAATGTGGTATCTCAGCAGAAGTTGTGAAGCAGAGCCTTGCAACGTGTGTAATTTCTACTCTTATTGAAGACTACTGCACTCATGAATAATGTATGGAAACCTCCTTACCTGTCTGCCTGATGAGTTCCATGCATCCCTTTGGCGTACACGGAATAAAGCAGTCTCCAAGGTCTCCTCTAGAGAGTTTCCCAGCATTGATGCTACTTAAGCTGTATTTTGAATAAATAAAGGCCAAGTAAGATACCTAGCCTCACTGTTCAAGAGAAAATAAAGAAAAAAGGTTTCTTTCTGGAGCAGCTGTCATGCTCTCCAGGGGTGAAGTCAGTTTACCCATCCACATCCTTCTCAGGTGCAACAGCATTGGTTATTTTTTCTGTGTTGATGGGTTTATTGGAGTCGAGCGGCAGCTGCACTATAAATCCATGAACAGCTGGGTCTGCATTCAGAGAGGCAATGCACTTGAGCACCTACAACAGCAAACACCAAAAAACGAATGGCTGATGAACTGAAATACAACTGATGCAAAGGGAAAAACAATCCTATCTGAATTAAAAGATACAAACTTCGTATTTAGTTTTTCCACCCAGAAGTATAAACCACTTACACTTTGTATTTTAAAAAAATAGTTCCTAAAGTCTCTAAGTCTTACATTGTTTTAGTTTTCTTTAAAAAAAACCCACAAAAACACCTCAGCAGATTCCAAGTCTTTTTTCATGAGTTAGCATCAATAATCAAGTAGTCCTTTTTTATGCAATGACAGGGCAAAGATATCTTGAGCTCAACACCAAAGTTACGTATTTTTTCATTACTGGTTATATTACTTACATCAGCTTCTGTTGCTGTGTTTGGCAATTTTATGTGGTTGGCACTGATCCCAATCTGAAAATGAGAATAACAACAAATCATCTGATTTCTGAATTGACATCCAATCGATCTGGCTAATCTCTCTATCCAGCTAAATCACAGTTGAATTCTGTCACATTTCCCAAGTCTATCTCCTGTTCCTAAAGCTTAAAGTCCTACAATTTAGAAATACCATCAAAGAAAGGTCAGTGCTTTGCCTACTGAGTCTGTCCTTTAACTGTCCTATTCACCTTTTGACATGAACAGCATTAGCTTTGCTTGACAGCACACTGCCTTCAAGTGGCAGGTATCACCTAGGGAAGAAAAATGCACTCATCTGTGTTCCTGCCCTGCTAAAGCATGTAATGTTCTACCTGTGACAAGCACAAGGCAACTGCAGGTACAAGACATTCAGGGAAGATAAGGACAAGGCCACAGATCAGGAAAGACACAGCACTTGAGACAAACGTAATCTGTGATGATCACACAAAAACTGCCACCAACCCACACTGCTGTGACTAGAGAACCCCACTTGATTCTCAGGTTACACACCTACACTACATTCTTGCAACTGAGAACTCAGGCCAACACTGCTTTCTCCAATACTGGCCAAGCTTGGACAAAACTATTGACTTGCATCTGTTTTTTCATATTCAGATCTGACTGACTATAGGAGGGTAAAAAGTAGTCCTAAAAGTCCAGCCATTACCTCAGCAGCAGCCTTCAGCTTCATGTTAATGTAGAGGTTTGAATCATCCCGATTTCCAACCTAAGGATGAAAAAAAAAGTTGAATTACAGCACAGAATAGCGACCCAGACACAGGCTGAGATGGGCTTAACCCTCAGCTTCCTTGGATCTACAAAGAGACAGAGGTATTCCTGAATTACTGTAAAACACACTGATAGAGGATATAAGCACCTAGAGCTAACAGGAAAGTTCTTTCAAGTACGAGGCAGATAAAGACAAGTTGTCTGATCTCCTGCACAAACACCATTTGCACCCGTTGAAAAACCTTAAAAACTCACTGGTCTCCAAAGCAGAAAATACTGCCTGCCTTGTGATCTGAGAAAGTTAAATCCTTAGCTAATTAACATGATCAGCAGGTGCTGATAACATTCAATTATCTCATTAAGACTTTCAGAAACAGTGGGCCTCTTTGATATCCAGGAATCTTAATTTTATGTACATAAATGCTTTGATGGAGACATTTTTTCCACTGCTGTTTTGAACCCTGAGAATTTTCCTGCCAAACAAAAACCAAAACAAAGACAAAGCGATGCACAAAGAAAAAGCAGCAAGTGGAACAAACGTCTGCAGATTTTGGCAGTACTGGGTGCTTACAGTACAACTGCATTTCAGGAGACCACTTGCATCATCCAGTATGTTTTGCTACAGGTAATACTCCTTCCAACCTTAAGAAAATCGGTGTCAAATAAGGAAAAGCTGATAAAGAAGCTCTTGAAATACTGTTCCCTGGTACTTGGGAGTGATCCCTGGTTCTCACATAGACTGCAAGCTGCAGAGGTGACTGCATTACCTGATCACTCAGAACACATCGGTTCTTCCTCCCTAGGTACAGATAAAGGGGCTGTCTTCCCCGTAAAGTTTGCTGGGTTTAAGAAAATGTTTACTTCATACAGGGCAGAAAAACAGGAGATGTCAGCAAATATATGTTTTGTGAATGAGGAATTACTGACTACAGGACAAAAAAATAAAGATTAACTGACTTATTCTTTGAGCTCAGAGGACACCAGATGCCTCCCAAGAACAGAGCACATAATGCATGGTGTGCTACACACAAGAAACAGCTCATTGTCCTGACTTCACTGAAAAACAGACAGCTGCAAATATCAGTATTAGGAGATGAACTCCAAGCCCAGACTGTTTGACAGCTTACAGAAGTGTCAGGCAGCCGAAGAGAAACAGGTTGTAAAGGACTCTGAGACAATCCAGCACTGAATACAGGCTCACCATGAAAACAATCAGTAATTCCACAAGACAGCAATTTTTGAAGACAGTTTGAGGTCAACAGAACAGCAGCTTTCATCAAAGCACTACTAAATTTTTAGATCCTCCTTCCTTCTAAGCATCTGCAGACAAATTTTCTGTAGAGACAATCTACTTGAAGTTAACAGAAAGGAAAACCAGAAACACAAACACAGATTTGCTCCTGGCATCTGAGAGGAGCATGGCCTTTTGTGTGGTATGGTGGCATTAGCACTGGAATCCACACAGGGACCAAAGGCTCTGCAGGAGCACAAAATACTGAATAAGGACTTTTCTAAGCAGCCACTTACATCCCCTCAATCCTTTGTGGACACACCGTTCCTTCCTCTAGCATAACACTTGCTATTGCTAGTCACCTTCTGGCCTAAGCACAAAGGGCTTCCATTTTTTATAGCTGCAAAGGAAAAAAATTCTGCCAAACACAGGTCAAACCGCCATACTTGACATGTGCTTTTTACCTCTGCAAACCTTTCTGTGTAGACTCTAACACTTGCTCACTTCTGAGAGATATCCAATTCAGCAACAGAATATTGTTCCATCCCTTGCACTCTAAGTCATCTTGGCCAAAGGCAGTTTTAGTTTTGTTTGAGTTCCCTTCCCTCCTCTGCCCCTCTTTTCTCTCCATGTTTTGACATAACAGCAGACCAAATCACTTAATAAACATCCCACGTGGAGAATTTCTGGTACAAACACATCTCTGAAAGCTGCCAAACTTCAGGGCTCACTCAAGTGCAGAGATCTGGAATGGAGTCTACAAGCACTGCTTGCTCTTAATAGGCAAACAGCTTGATTCCACCATTGCACAAACACAACACTCCAACAGAGAACAGGTTCTGAAAAAAGAAATAAAACAACTGAAAAATTTAAAAAAATTAAATTGGGCCCTGATACTTGGCAAAAAGACATAACAGGACTGTGTTACCATCCCACAGAGAACACTGTTCCTAATAAAATGCTACCAACTATAAGCCAGCTTTGATGAAGCTCATCAGCTGTGCCCTTACCACTGCAAAACAATTCAAATTTTCTGTAGTTGTCATTAGAGAAAACAATACCTGCAAAATGGCAAGTCCTGGTCTGAAGCCTGGAAATTTCTCAGTCATCTCAACAACTTGCTGCTTTAGTCTGTCTCTCACTTGTCTGAAGAGGGGAAAAAAAAAAGAAAACAAATACAAGGTAGAAGTTAATCACAAAGCTGAATTCTGATATAGTGATGGAGTTGTTCTGATACAGTCAGGAGTTGTAAAGGTGAGAGATGGGCAGACTGGCAAACATGTACTTATGCCTTGAGTACACAGCTCCTAGCAATCTCCAAATAAGACTGATGCCCATAAGTCACTAAGACACTCTGGAACCAGGTTCATTCAAATTTATTTAAATAATTTTATTTTTTGAAGTCCACATTGTGCTTCTTCATGCTCTCAAAGGATACAAGGGTAAAAAAAAAAAAAAAAAAGGTTCGAAATATGGCATGGAAATTCCTGGGATTTCAAACTCCTTTCTCTAAAGGAAATCCTCTTTCCACCCTTGCTGTACTAAAATTACCTGGGAAATAACTAAACAAGCAGGAGATACCCAAAGATAAAGCAGAGATGAGAATAGGAGGTGGACAGACGTGAGGAAAAGCCACCAAACCCTGACAGCTCAGGTCAACTCTTCAGTAAAGGCAAGTTTAAGGATACAATTGTAAAAATCTCAGCTTTGAAACAGAGCACTGATTAGTTGTTCTACTTCAGATGAGAACTCACACCCAGTTTACCATGGAATGTTTTAATAACAAGTACCCAGCACTGAAATTAGCCACAGACAGCTCAAAAGCCACTGTGACCACCTCTCCCCAGTCTTGCATTCCTCTCTTATTTCTCAACCACTCTGGCCCCACACACATAATCCTTCACCAGGGAAGGTGCCAGGCTCAACTGCTCCGTCTTCTCACCACAGGCAGTCAGGACTGTGAAAAAACTGACCAGTTCTGTGCATCTCACGGGCTCATGGCACTGGAAGGAGGCTGTGGCACTGTACTGCAAATATAAGAGACATTCAGAACCAAAAGCCAGGTAAGCAAAACCTCAAAGACATGAGAGGCTTGACAGGTCTGTCCTCCATGTGATCTCCATCCTGTGTCACATCCCCATTCTCAGAGATGAGAAGGTGCTACCACCACACTCAGCAAATCTACCCTGCACCAAACACCCTCTGGTTTAAACCACAGGTCTCCTTGTGCTCATCTACCCTCAGATCAGCATCACCAGCTCTGCTACTTCCCAAGTGGGACCAGATTTCCCAGACTGAAGCAGGTGCTGTTGGTGCCAGTTCATTAAAATTGTGACCAGATAAAGCAAGGGTACAGGGACAGGGTACATAGCTGTCCAGCTGGGAGTCTGTGATTCCTGCAAAGAGGGAAACTCCAGGAAAACAGATAGCCAGTGAAGCAACCCTGCAACTATGAGCTCCAAATTAGAACTGCCAGAGGCATGAAGACAGGGAAATGGGAACAGCACACAGCTCTCTCAACCCAGCAGCACTGATCCCAGGGGACAGCTGCAGCTGGCCCAGCTAGAAGCAGCCCTAAGGCTGCTTTAGGTCTTATCTCAGAGGGAGTCACAGCCTCCAGCTACATCCCAAATCATGCATCTCTCCTGCTGCATCCTGAATCACATGGTCAGAGCTCTGCTGCACCTGAGGAGTGGGTTCAGAGTATTTATAGGTGTTTGCACCTAGCCATGTGGTTCAGTCTCTTAACAAGCTTCAGCAGAAGCAAGTGTTTGCAGCCTTACTTAACAAACAGTAGTTCTGGGCCTTCCTTCAGCTACCACCTCTGTAGGAGACCTGACATCAAGACCAGCTGATGAGTTCAGAAAACTCATAGCAAACCTTACCCCAGCAATTATTTGTGCTTAAGTGACAAAAATTCATCTGCTGGGGAGCAAAATCCCCAATTGCCTCTCCTTACACTCCAGCTGTAAGTCCCTAGGGAGGCACCTGAGCTGGCTCATGAGCAGCCTCTAACAACAACACAACAATCTCAAAGAGCATCAGAAACCCCTCTGCATGTGGCCTGTGGGCAACTCTCCAAGGGAACTATTTCTGAGGACTTTGGTGTTCCAGTAAGGAAAGGCAGCACTGGTTTGTGGCCAGCAAACCAAAAGAAATGCAAACAAACGAAATATTAGAAAGGATCCCAGGTTTAGGTATTACTTTTATTCCAGTCTTCTCAGCTGAAGAAAAACAAGCCCACCCAATTTCCTCTGTGAAGTAGGGCTGTGCTGTGCTTTTACCCCCAGCAGCCACAATTATTCACACTTACAATGCTGTCATTTTCTGTACTTAGGCACTAGGTCACTTCCCCTTCAGCTCCAGAAGAAAGGTAACACCCACAAACATACAAACGTGGTGCTGTCAGTGCGGTTTTCTTTAGGAGCTTTGAATCAAGAAATCACTTGTTAGACAGCCACCTAGCGTTGGGTAGCACTGCTCTCCAGTGGTCAAAAAAAACACAGGGGCAAAGGTTTGAGAGAAAATTCAAGAAAAAAAGAAGAAATCTTTGTTTTAACTCCACAGACTTACAAAAGCCATAAAAATAACCTTTGCAAACCAGCAGCAATTTAGTTATATAGTCTGCAAAATTCTATTGTGGACCTCAGGCCTTCCCAAAGATAAAAGTTTATATTGATAAATCAATATCACTTTTTACTAGCTGTATGAAAACTCTTTTAAATCTTCAAACAAAAAATTTGCAGTTCTATGTGGCTGCTGCCCCAAAAGCCTTCTCTCTGACTCGAAGCCCCCTCATATGTTCACGTGCCCTTCCACAAACAAATACATACAGCAAACAAAAGTCCAGGGTCCACACAGGTTAAGGACAACACGTGGTTCTAAGCATACACTGCAACAGCCAGCTCCAAAGATTAAAGAATTTGTTAGCATTTCTTTCTGTAGACTGCAACAGTGAGCTGAATTTAAATTTATTAAGGAATTTCCCAAAAATTGAAACAAAGGACAAACCACACTCATTCAGCTCTGCTGGAAATGGAGAGAATATGGCTCCCATATCAGCAGAACCCCACACCCTCCTGTGGATTATGGACACTGCTCAGCTGGTGAGGACACAGCACCATACTGAAGATGACAGCAGGCTGTGTTTCTGTCCCTTCTGTGAGTAACAGGGTCCAGGGTCTGTGCAAATAGTGCCAAACACAGGACCTGGCAAACACCTCCTCAGAGACAGTGAAGCTCCAGAAGATGCCTGTCCCCAGAGGGGAGGGTTTGGCTTTACTGCCTGGATCACAGATTCCCCAAGGGTTTCATACACATGCAGCAGAAATGCTCCTGCTGCAGCCCTGCAGAAATAGCTGCATGAGGCTGATGGTCCTCCCCAGGTCCTGCACCATCCTGGTCAGAGCTGTTGTCCCTGCAGCCATTCCTCCTTGCAGCCTGCAGCACTGCCACTGCTCACCTCCTGTTGCTCCCATGGGAGCATATTTTTCCACCACAATATGGAAAAACAAGTTTTCCCATCTCCAAACCACCATGGCATCACGTCCTAGCCCAGGACAACTGTATTATCTTAAAATGCTGGGAGGGGGGCTGCAAAGAAGAACGTCACAGAACATCCCACTTGCACCCAAAGGAGGCACAGAGTGTCTTCTGAGGGAAGTCACAGGTTGGCTCAGTGAGTGGCACTGGGATAGGAAATACCTTGGGAAAGACCAACTGAACACTGCTGGCAATTCAACAGATGGCTTCAGTTGCAGGAAGACATCATTTAGAGCTGGAATGAGTTCACAGGTCTCCCATCCTCTTGTCTCATGCTCTACTGCTGCATGCTCCTGGCACACTATCATTATCTCCAAGAAAAAATACCTGCTACTTTCTACCACTTCCACACTCACAAGGCTTTTAAACCACCTTTTTAGTTGTGTTGATGCCTTCCCTGTAAGCTGGTGCTGATGTGCACAGATCACACAGCCCTGCTGCCCAGACAATGTTTTCCTCCTATCTTATTGACTCTTTAGAGCAGGGTCACATTTTTTTAAACTGTGTCTGCACAGCACTGAGCATTAGGGGTTCTTACTCATATTGCAGCCACCCAATAGCACTGGCAGTTCAGTTTAAATCAGCCCATCCACAGTGTAGGACCCTTCAGTGCAAGCCTGAAACATTGTGAGTAGGATCTGGTAAAAGAGAACTCAGATATCAGGGAATTTTTTCAGACTAGATTTACCTGGAGTTACAATAGGAACCCAAAAAAAAAAAAAACAACCAACCAACTAAAAAAACAGCATTTAAGGCCCAGACTGAAAAGGTTGAGGAGTTGTTTACTGCACTGTTACCTCCAGTTATAAGTTCAGCCTGCTCACCACTTTATTGAGCACTCTAAACCCAAAGCACTACCTGGCCCATCCCCAGGGGCTGTGAGGGGTGCTAAGTCTTCCCTGCCATCACAACTCATGAGCCACTCTTCCAGAACAGAAATGCTGGTTCACTCCTGGTTCTACCAACCAATTTAGGCCAAGCCAGAGGTTTCCAAACCTGGGCTCTTTCAGATGGTAAAGCCTGAACACACAGCTCACTGCAGTGGACATAAACTGTAAAGAAGAGCCACTACCATATTTTGCTCTGATTATCTCTTTAGATACAGAAACAGAGATTGATTTTTCTTCAGGGACTACCAGCAATAAAAGGTGGAGAACACTGTATTTTTATTACCTTAAACCCACCATATCCTGCATACTTAAAGCACTGCTTCTCTTCCTCCCTTTAGTCATTTGTTTACTGTACTGTTATACAGTAACTCATCTTTTGCAACTCATTTGCCAATGAGGCAAATTTAACTTGGAGCAAAATCTAAAGAAGAATTACTAAACAGTCACTCAGAAAACTAGAGGAAAGCAACTCTGAGCCAACTCAGCCAGCTCAGATTGATGCAGAAGCCATCCAATATTTAATATATTTCACAAACTGTGCAGGCTTCTTGTTTGTACTGACAGAGCAGACTTTTTGATGTTGACGCATTAACATCAACACCAAAATCTTACAGAGAAAACAATGTCTGCTGTGTTCTCCTTCCCATGCCCAGCCTACCCACATTTTCCATCATCATAGGTAATACTCAAAGCCACTGAAAATGTCAATTTTCCTTTGTACCTCTTCTGAGCTTTCCAAAGGTGTGAACTAGCTTTATCACCTCACCAAGTTTTCCTTATTTATAGGGGCAAGGAAACTCTCTCAAAGTATTTATTCTCTTTACATGTTTCACAAGAATAAGAATGCCAGTATCTACCTGATTTTTGTTTAAATAGCTGGTATGATTGTGAATTAGGTATTTTTTCATCTGCTTTGAGGAAGGGGTGCTTGGTGGCTGGAGGAGAAAGTTCACTTAAAGAGCTTTGATTTAAAACACACAGAGAAACCCAGAATTAAGTAGCTGGAACACCACTACCTTCAACTCATTTGTCAATATTTGACTGACTTACAAATAAACATTTTTCTTGATTAAAGGGTAAAGTAACAAAAAAACCTACCCCCTACAAGATAGGAACGGAAAAGGTTTTGCAGTTGATGTAAAGTCAGGGACGTTCCCTTTCTACAGCAGGCAGTTCAGTTGAAAATTCCTAGAAAAACCACATGCCTATCACCTTCTGCTGCTGCCAGACTCTTGGCCTGGAGGTGAACTCTGGCCAGTGAGAATCCTTTGGAGCAGCATTTCTCTAGGGGTCTGGAAGAAAGGGACAGCTGTCTTCAGGGTAGACAGCCAAATTTCTCATGATTCCTTCAAGTACTCCACTAGAAAAAGGCATGGCCCATGGGGAACAGGTGTTGCTTTTGCTATATTGAACACAAATACAGCACGAAAGGAACTGAAGGACAGCTGAACAACTGCAATTATTTTTCCATTTTGTGCTGTCTTCAGGTCAAGATTTGATGACTCTGGAAGACAGACTTCAGCCAAACACCTGAAGAGATGTGCTAGAAGTTAATAAAACCTTTCCCCTGTATGTGCCTATTAAAAGCTCATGCCTCTTCCCAGGTATTTCCACATCATGAATATCCCCTGAGAACTGCTAGTTTGTAGCTGCTACTACAGTACAGAAAACAAACAGAAATAAATTTCACTGCTATATCTTTAAAATTAAGTAATTAATGCAACACGCCATACTAAGGAAGCTAGAAGTTTTAATGTGAATTATCACTGTACCCAAACTAGCATCTTTCCAGGACCTATTGCACTTCAGGGTGACTTTCTATGACAGGAAAGAAACCCTACAACAGGCAAATCATGAAGTCCCACCAGCCACAAGCACAGCTGTTGCAGAGTGTGCTGGCCCCAACACTGCCAAAAGGATCAGGTGGAATGAAGTATATAAGACTGAGAGACTGCAATACACAGGTGGTAGTGGCTCCAAAATTACCAGGTAGAAAACATGCAAGTATCCTTTCCTCATGGATATTCAGATTCAAGGCACATTAGGCCTGCTTTTCAGAACTGCTTCACTGTTGGTTAGATGTAGATGTGCCATACACGGCAATACTGAAGAGGAGAACTAAATGCTTTGCTGAGATTACTTTATATCTTTCCAAATGTAACCTTTCTGTCTGAATTCCCTGATTTTATCAACAGGAGGTATCCAATGAACCTACCTAACCAAACCCTGTTTCCACAGAGTGTAACAGAACCATTACACTGCATTTCCCCCAGACTAAGGAAATTTATTTGGCTTTCTTATCAAATGTGTATGTTGAGTGGCAGCAGGAAAAACAAGCAAATTAAAAGACACAACGCAGGCTCACCTATACCCAAGGCTTGCCAGCTAAGTAAATGCTGAAAAGTACAAGACCACTCCTTTTTCCTTCAAGGTCTCCCAAATGTTTTAAATAGCTTTGGCAGGACACCCGTGAACATTCAGCTGCGTGTTATCCGACATGTGGATAAACTTCCTTTGCTTTTAGAGAGGAACTGTCAATGCTTGTAGAGTATGAAAACAGAGCCCATACCTAAAGCACATGTTCCCAACTCTGCTCATAAAGCATCCCAGCTTACAAACACTGAAGCTGTAGGTCAGCCGGTGGCTTCACACCTGCCTGGGCTCTCATCCCATCGATGCTCAGCGACCACCAGGCGCTTTCTGGGGCTGCCAGAGACCCCACCTGACGCGCCACTGGCAGCACTTTGCATTCTCCTTCAGACCTTTCATACTGTACTTTGTCTAATAACTCCCAGTTTACAGCCAGGAAGAGCTTTGGCTGCAACGTAGTGAAAAAGTAGTGAAAAAGCTTTAGGATGTCTCCAAACCTGCTTTGTCCACAGAGCCAGAGTGAAAGCCGCCCACAGCCCCATCCCGCTGCCAGCACACCCGCGGACCGCCGGGGCACCCCTCAGCTCCTCGGCCACACCGGTCCCTTCCCGAAAGGCAAAAGCCCCGCGGCTCCCAGACTTTCCCGCCCGAGGGAACCCGGCCGAGCGCTGCGGGCAGGGCGGGCAGCCCCGCTACGTACCCGGAGACAATCTTGCCGCTGAGGATCTCGGCGGGGGCCATGGCGAGGGCTGGAGGGCGGGCGAGCAGCGGGCCTGCAGAGGCGAGCGCGGCGGGGCTCCCGGGAGATCTGCGGGACACGCTGTGCCCACTCCTGCCTCACTCGCGCCCCACGTGGCCCCGAACTTTCGGCGGCCCCGGCCCCGGCCCTGGCCCCGGTCCCGCCGCGCAGGCGCTGCCCCCGCCCCGTCCCGCCCCGTGGCTCCCTCAGCGCGGGCACCGCTCCCCTTCCCGCCCGCTGCCTCCCGCGGCCCGGCTGCAGCGCGGGCGAGCGGGGCTGAGGCGAAATGGCCGCCAAAACGCCCTCAAAATGCCCTTCAAAATGCCCTCCAAAACGCTTCCGAGGCAGCGCTCCCGGGCGTGCCCGGCCCCTGCTCCACGCAGAGCGGGGCCGGCTGGAAGGAGAGGGCAGCCCTGGAGGGAGCTGAGGGATGCTGATGTTAGGCTGTGCACAGGGAATGCATAGGAAAATTCCACATCGGTGTAGCAATAATCTGTGTTTCTTGTCCCGTGGTTCTTGTAAGGGGTTGTGCCGAGAGTAGAAGTTAAGAGTAGAACCGTAGATTCACAGAATGGTTTGGGTTGGAAGGGACTTAGAAGATGATCTAGTTTCACCTCCCAGCCATGGGCAGGGGCACCTTCCACCAGATCAGGGTGCTCCAAGCCCTGGCCAACCTGGCCTTGAACGTTCCCAGGGATGGGGCATCCACAGCTTCTCTGGGCAACCTGTGGCAGGGCCTCACCACGCTCACAGCAAAGAGCTTCTTCCCAGTATCTAAATCTACCCACTTTTTGGTTTGAAGCCGTTCCCCCTTGTCCTATTGCTACATGCCCTTGTAAAGCATCCCTCGTTCTTATTTGCATAAAAATAAGTTAATTTTAGTTTTTAGGATTTCAACACATTTATCCAACATGAAGTCGCCAAACCAGTGGCTGACCAGAAAGAGGGTGATGAAAAGCAGGGTGGGATTGTGGCCTAAATTCATAGAAGTTCTCAAGAGTGAGAAACAGGTTCCTAACAGTGGCCTCCAGGGGATGTATTTGCACTAAGTAATCCCATTAAAACTCGTGAAGGTGGTGATTTCCTGTCAGATCCATACAGTTGTCCACATGTACATGTTATATTTGTGTAACCAGTGCTTTTCCTTACTCTGCAGACCAGTGTGTGTGTGTTTTAGGACCTTTCTTAGGGAGTTGGTCTGCAGTGATTTTCTCACACATGTGGCGAATGAGTGATTAACATCCAGCCAGAGCTGGGGATGGAAAAAGCAGTTAAATATCACTGATATAGACTTGCCCAGGCAAGATAATGCTGTGACCCAGAGAACTGTTAAGGACCTCATCAGTGTCCCCTGCAAGTGTCTTAGCACATGGTTAGAGAACAGGTCCATGACTAAAGAAACTGGTGATAAAGTTCTAGGGCAGAGAACTGGCAGATGGGGATTGATGCTGGGCTGACCCCACAGTGTTAGATTGCTGTTGGGGAATAGTAGCACATTCCTGTGCCTCCAGTAAATCAGTGCTCTTACTGTTTTGGGACCTAGCAACATCTGCCAAATGTTGGCAGTACAGCAAAAGAATGGGATAATCTCACTGCAAATCATCAAGTTATGGAGAATCAGGACTGGATGTTAGAATAGCAGTCTTCCTGCTGAGAATTTGAGGCTGAAAATGCCTGTGTGAAGTGCTTTCACATAGATTTCTGCTTTACATAGAATGCATAGATTTGGAAAAATAAAGTATCTGTTCCAAAGAGTTTGCTGAGAAAACTTTCAATCCTGCTACTCCATAATGTAATCAGCTCACAAAGGGATTTGAGGAGCTCTTGGATTTTGAGAAGAGAGAAATGCAGGTCTTGAAGCTTCCGCCTGGGGCACAGAACTGCAAGGATAGAAATATACTTTCTGTTTCAGAAGGTCAGAGGTTTTAAGGTTGCTTCTTTGGCATTCTAGGAGGGGAATATAAACCATACATAGTTCAAAACTCAGCTCATCTGGGTTTACTTTCGTACACTAAAAAGTGACATATTTTCTGCTTTTTTCTGCTTTTTTTTTCTGTTGAGGCTAGAAATTGCTACCTTGAGTGATTAAATTACCTTAAGTTAACAACATGCGATTGTAGGATAAAAGGTCAGAAATTTTTCTTTAGGAGTGACTTGGAAAAGAGAGAAAACATTGTCGTTTAAGACTTTTGTATGTTAAATAAGAAAATTCATAGGAATAAATACAAAAAAGCTAGAAGAACTTCTTTTTCCCCTTCATTATGTATTCCCTGTATTTCCTGGAATGCAGCAGGCACTTGCAGTATTATACAGTGAAAACTAAGATTACGCAATTGGTCAAGAGGAGAGATTTTTCTAGGCTGCTTAAAATTCTGTGCCTTAGTTGTTTCTTCTGTTGCCTTTATCTGAGGCCTGAATGAACTCTTGGAGGGGGAAATGACCCAGTGATGAGGAAAAAAAACCCCAAACCACAAAAGATGAACTCCTTCAGCTAAGGACTTAAGGGTAAGGATAAGCTCACAAAAACAGCTTTTGCCAAAAATAGACCTAACACTCAGGATTGCAGTGTAAAAAAATCAGGCAGGAAAAGAAAAAAAGAAAACCCTTTTGTTTAAAATATTCAGGTGACCTTACTTGCAGAGTGAGCAGAAGACACTGTTGCCATCAGGAGCTGGAGATTCCTACCCAGAGCTGCTAACTTGCATGATTTACATGTGTGTGTGAGCAATAAATCTCCCTTCTTGCTTTTCTTAATGCCTCAGCTTTTGAATAATACATATGTCATGATGACAGATAAAACTTTGAATATTACCCAAATTTATTGCAGGAAAGGAAATAAGAATACTTCCAAATAACTTCTTCTATTACTTCTTTAGTTTTGATCCAGATTCTAATTTTCAGAAAGGGACAGACTCATGAATTTTAAATATACTTATGCCAGAAAATCAGACTAACCTTCTTTTTTTCAGAGCAGGAAGTCCTTTTGTATTTCTGACTTGTCTGATGTGGCAGTCAAGCTGGGATTTTTTCTCAGAAGTTGTGTACATCATGTCTCTAAGTAGGAACATGTTCTTTAACATTTATTCTTAATTTTCATCCTGAGATCAAAATGCTGGAAAAGGAGATGGAAAGGGACAGAAAAGGGATTATGTGATGAGCAATGGCTGAACAGGCCTTTCTGCCCAGCTCAGAGCCATATCCAGCCCTGAAATGCAGTAAAAAAGTTAAAGTTCCTATTCATGTATAGGAACTCTCAGAGAAACACAGTGTAAAGGAGACAAACATTGTGAAAATGTTTACAAAGTTGACAGCAAAATCAATGTTTTATGCATTCAGTATCAAAGCAGGCTTACTGCTTAGTGGTTGTTAGGATAAAGAGATATAAAAGCAGTTAGTTTGGGATAGGCTGAAGCCTCAGTGTAAGAGTTCTCTCTGCTCTGAGTGTTGCTCCAGCATAGTCATTCTCCCTCCTTCACCTCCCTGCCAGGATCCCTGGGTTTGATTTGGCAACTCCCACAGTGTGACTGTTTACCTTTGCATCCGCCCCCTCTTACCCAACATGTCAAAAGTTATGAAGCTTGCTCTTTAAAAAAGCCCTGAAGGCTGCAAAATACATGCCAGAAAGACGTTCAGTGTTATTGGTGAGCTAACAGCTGTGACACAGGGCCCCAGAACCTGTGATTTGTCATAAGAAACTGATCCCAAACCATCAAAGTGAGGAAGAACTTTAAGCTTTGCTTTACCCATTAAGTGGGATGGCTAGGATAGGACGTTGTCTCTATTAAAGGGGAGGAACAGACAAGTTAGATTAGTTTTATAAACTGATCAGAGAAGAGATTTTGAGAAAACCTGTTCTCAGGAGCAACCAGAAAATCAGTGTTAGACTTTGATACTTCAGATGTTTATGGGGAATTTTTTGTGTTTAAAGATGCCCCACTGAACAACGAATGACATTACCCAAGAATGTACCTTTATCTGCCATGATGGGAGACACAGCTTTGTCACTGAGTAACAGTGACACATTTAAACACATTCTATTGGTCCACTCTCCCTTTGATCAGAGGATGACTGAGCTTTGACGTAAGGCTTGAGATTGATCTCAATGTACACTCTTTGGAACAGCTCTCATAGCTAGGCTGTGTTGATGAAATAGTAGATGGCTTGAGCTATGATTTGTTCCATCATGAAGTGTTTCCCGAGTGTCGTTGTCTCCTAATCTGTTTAGCCATATCATGTTCCATCACTGCAATAAGAAGGTGGTGACACAGCCAGCTGTTGGACAGTCACTACAGAAGTTGCTCTCCTGGGTTAGAATGATTTTTCCTCTCTGGCTTCCCCATGGTTCCTGTTCTCATGGCTGAACCAGCGGAATACATACTTGGAGTGCTCTTTGTCCATTTCAGTGCTAAGGCAGACAAATTAACCAAATCACTTCCAAGCACAGATTTAACTCCAACAAACTGTTTTTTTACATAAAATCTGTGAAGGGTACTTTCTGGCAGGGAGGTAAAGCTGGTTGTGCCCCACAGAGTTGCAGTAGCAAACACACCTGACCCATCTCGAGCTTGCTGATCACTTGCCTACCATGCAGAGCTATTGTATTGTTTTCTGTCACTCTAAAGACAGCAATAACAGTTCAGATTATCTCTGAATTTCCACTTGTGTTACTATGCCAATGACACAAATTTATGTAGTTGAGTGAATTTTCCATTGGCTGTTTTTCTTGTTCTTCCAGCTAGCTTCCTTTAGCTACATATCTTACCTTCACACAGAAATCCAACAGTTCCCATTGACCTCCTAGGGATCCTGCACAAGGTCTTGGTAACAGTTTGAAGAATTTTGTGTCACACTTGATTCCACTGAGAACAGTGCCAGAGCGCTTGATAAATGTGGGCCCTAGGTTGTCCCAACTCTTTGATATTGAGAATTCAGATCAAAGAGACCATTTTCTTAGTAGCCCCCTCTCTCACATAGTAACCATTCCTAATACTTCTACAGCACGTTGAGACACTCCCTGCAATAAACAAAAGCCTAATTCATTGTCCCAACCTGC